GCGATGCGTTCCACCGATCCCTTTCTCCTCGTGGTCCTCCAGCTCTCCTTCTTCCTCGCGATTCGTTTCGAGATGCCGGTTATGCAACCGTTGCTTGTCGATATTCTTATTCCGGAGTTCCGTGGATGTTCCGTGTCGCATTAGCAGCATCCTCGGCCGATCGTTGGAAAGTTTCAGTCGTGGAATAAGTCGCGCTGTAAATCGTGGAATACGCTTCATCTGCCGGAGACCTCTAACCGAATTTCGCTGGTATCGATTATCAGTAAATTGTAAGCGAGCCGTTTGTATCGCGTTTCCTGAAAGTATCGAGAACAGAGCGACGGTGTGAGAGGCAACGGTGGCACGTAAAACGTCATCAGGCTTTTAGGTGCATACAAGTTGCCTCCGATGGAAGGACGTTTGACCCGCACAGGCAAACCACAGCAGCTCCGTCAGCCTAACACGGCGGTTGGTGCACGTGCACGTTACCCGTGGGCTAATGTCTGCGCCACCTGGGACATCCTGACATTCGGATGCTTCGGTGTCCAGACGCCAGGACTCAGGGTTCTTCCCCGAGGACCTCGCTGATCTATAGCACTGACTGGTTTTAATCCATCTAGTTTTACGATGACAGAGAGTCCGCCAGGACTGCCGGAAGTTGGTCAACTTAGCCACGGAATTATCCCACGTAGCGAAACTAGGCTGTGCCGCATTAAAGTTTTAGCCTCGCCGTATTACGTGTTTGGAAAACTTTAAACGGTTAAGGAGGCGGGTCCCTGTCCCACTCTCGCAACCTTGCGAGATACCTATTTACCGCCATCACCTTTCGCCCGGTTATCAAATTAAACATAAACGGCGGATTCTGTTTAATTTCCTCCGAAAACGGCCACGGCGTGGAACCGTTACGCATCTTTAGCATCCGGTGAATATTTCATGGACGTACCGTATGCGTGCATAATTTTCACCTCGGCGCCGATGCTTCCCACCCAGGACCGCCCCTTGATTACCCCCACCGCCGCTCCTCGCGCCACTGACAGTCAGCCACGTCGCAGCAGTGGCGTAGCGTCGCGCTCTCGAGCGTTGATTAATCCGTACGACATTTAAGAAACAACCAGCCGAAGGAGAAACCTTTACTCCGGCAGCTTTGCTCGGCTATCTTCGTGCAAGCTCTGTCTGGCTTATCTACCTGTCTCGCGATATTTTTCCTCCCTTTTTTCTCCATTTCTTTCCCACTTTTAGCGCGTTGTACCGCATCTACGCGATCGAGTTATCGTTCGTTGGAAAAGCGTTTTTCCTAGGAACTCCGGACGTTGCGACTCGTCGAGAACGCAGCTGCCGAATACCACGCGGTCATTTGCGTTTTATTCCGCGAATTATCGCGCGATCCGCCCGGCAAGCTTAATGCCCACAATTTCTTAGATTCCTTATCGATACACGTATACGCGGTGCGAGCAGTCGTTATGAAAATTTCTAGGCACACACCCCGTTTGTACGCTGTTTGCACGAACGTATCCGAGAAAATGCTGCGCACGCTGGCAGCAGTCACGTCCGTGCAAACACGCAACTGCATTATTAATAATACGGTCAGGGGGAAGCAGACGCGCATGCACGCAGCCGTTCGCGGACCATCGCATTATGTCACACACGACGGGCCCATCTGCCATTTTCTCCCCGGTCATCTGCAGCAACGTTCGACGAATCTTCGTCTATCCATCTATGCCAAAAATCCCTTCCTCTGTACGAATAATAACGCGATTGTTAATATTCCGCGCTACGAGGTAAAAATTTGAAATCTTCTCTGCGAAATTATTCAAACTTCGGGCACATTTCCCACTGTCGCGTATTTATATCAGGAGCCATTCCGAGTGTATAAAATACGATATTTTGTACCAAATTGAAAAAGGAGAAGAGTGGATTTTTAATATCAGTGGAGAGAACGAGATATTAAAAACAGAGGAATATGAATTCGCATGAAACGTTAAAATTATACGAGTGTCTAATTACATTCCTAATGACGCACGGGGTGCACGTATGTAATTAATACTCTTTACTCCGGAGCTCGGACAGCACCAATTGCTGGATTCTTAGTAATTCTCTTAGTATTTTGTCCTCGAGTATAACCAAAGCCCAATGTAAGAAGACGTAATGGCGAATAAAACGCACTCCGGCGACATGTTATTACGAATTTCGTAATAAATCCTGTTACGCGATTTGCCAGAGTCGGAGCGTTCGATTTCCCACAATTTTCCAAATTTTTCAAATTTTTCAAAACTTGTTAGTCTCAGTTGCAACTCTTTTTGGCAGCGTCCGTGACCGAGTAACGATATTTATCGTATCGATATTTCTTATCTCATCGATGATAGGAAGGGTACGAAACTCGCGGCCATATTTCGATGGGTCGGTTATTGGCGTTACACCAGGCCCAGGAGCGGACTTTTTCGCCTATTTTACCGATAAAACTTCCCCGAAAATTCGATTTTGCTTCGGTCCCTTTATCGTTGGTCCGTTCGTCGCGAAAAATAATCGGTTTACGATTGTCTTTGAGGGGGACGGGGCGCGCGAACGCGATGCCGGTGGAAGCGAATAACGAACCGTGTGAATAAAGAATTTGGCAAATAGCGAATGAAATTTTCGACGCGGGAGAGTGGGGAAAGATGGGACAGGCTGATAAAAATTTACGCGACGAGCGCGTCCCCGGTGAAATCTGGCGCGATGAGCGCGTGTTGGTTTAAAAATGAACAAGCGGCATGCGAGATGGCGGGAACGAGGCCGTGCGACAGATATATTAGGAATTATGCTGTCTCCTATCGCGAAAACACATCGGCGAATTAATTTGCAATTTCCCGCCGTAGTTCGCCACCCCTCGGCAGCTCCTCGCGATCCTGTATCGCGCGTGCATCTACAAAACGTTCGTTATTAAACGCATTTTCGCGACAACGGGGTCACGCGTACCCCGGCATATACATCAGCTTCTGTCGCGTAAAATCCGCGATTTATCGCGGCCGATCCGCGAGATGGTCCACTCTTGCGTTCAATTAACGAACACCGATCTCGACGCACGACGTATCGTTGCTTTGACCACCCAACGATGTTATAATTTCAGAGAACGAAAACTGCGATGACAAGTGTTCCATGTTACACCATCGTCTAGGCTGTCTCGTGTCATGTGCACCGTTCGTCGCTCGACTTCAACGCCATTGACGGATGATACGCGCAGTGTACCTGTTTAGATTTTCGCTCATGGGTTTATTCGTACTCATCGTTTAACCTTCCTTTTCAATGGCTTCTTCTTCGACATTACGCAACGAATAATTTGCTCTTTGATATTGGCAAGTCAGCGCATCGAGGACTGGTACAGGTCTCGCGGAAACTAGTGTGATTCTTTGTCATAAATTCGCGTACACTCTGTTCCCTAAACCTCTTACTTCTTACGGCAGCTATACAAATTACAGCAGTAAATACTAGCGCTTAAATCCAATTTTTAATGTTTTTATTAAAGCGTTGCATAATAAGCTGCAGCGACCAACGTTCGAAAAACAGAGGTTCCAGGTTTCTCGCAAGTCCTCGGCGAATTCTCGACCTCCCATAAATTCAAGTTCCTATGCTGCCTAAGTATCTCCTGTCTAAGGCAGGGCCTACTGGATAGCCTCACCACTAGCAGGCCCAGGACGAAACGCATCCCTTCCTTGCGTTCTACCTTCTACATATCATAGATACACAAGGCTAGAAAAGCAACCCCCGTGGGAGGACCTCCGCAAAGCGAAGAAGAAAATTGCATTACGAAGGTGACATAATTGACGTTTGGTGAAACGGAACGAAATCGGAATGGCGAACGCGTTGCAATGGACGCGTGGGTGCAGCGAGACGACGCTAGACGCTGTCACCTCGTGACAGCTATAGAAATATTCGTTGGGATCTTTGTTTTATTCGGCGGTCACGTAAACCGGGACGAGAGGGGAGTGGCGGCCATGCAAACGAGTAATTACCGCAATACTAATAATACGTCGGCGAGAATAGATTTACGTGTCCCATTGCATTAGGGAAATTACCGGAAACGCTGCCGGGGCTTCGTTGTTTGACGCGTAAAATCGATGACAAACGGAGCAGCGAGAGCGACGGAGCACTCCGTTTCCGGTACCGTCCCTCGGCATTTATTCCTCCTTCGCTTTCCCTTTCGTCGCCATCGATATTTATTTATTCTTCTCTCCCGCCCTCCTCGCAATCGTTGGAATCGATGAAACGTGGGAACCGGTTGCACGCGTGCAGCGTTTTGGCGGAGACGCTCGACCACGATGCTAGCTGTTGGAACGTCACGCTTCGCGTCGAGCTTTAATCACCGGAAATCGAACATCTGTCTGCCGCTTCCAGTTTTAGCGTTTATCAGTAGCGCCGACCCGGAGGTTGATCGTTTGGATTTCTGATTGCGCGAACATGGAGGACGCCCCGATTTACCAGGAATCAGACGTCCTCGCATCGGGAAAATGGAAACGGCTTTGATCGAACGACCGAACACGCTTCACGGCGCCGATTTATTCTCGACAATTGAAATTTTTATCTCCATCCTTGGAGTTGGCGGCCCGTCCCTCCTGTTGTTCCAACGACCACGATATTTTACGCGTACTCGAACGTGCAACGGTTACGCGTCACGCGCGACGCGGAATTTGCAATTTTTCCGTTTTAAATGTCGCATTTCCGAGCTGCGTGCGGCATGAAAAAACGAAGCGATTTCGAATCGGAGGAGTCATAAACTGTACATAACAGCTCGCAATTCGTTTAATTTACGCTAATTGGGACGAACAGCGGCACGCAAATATTCGAAGAATCGCTTTCGCAGAATCGCGCTCGAATAAATACACCGTGCCACGGATTCCATATTTTCCAGCGATTTTTGCTAATTGGAAAAATGAAATGGTCGGTCAATGAGCGGAAACTTAAGAACCGCCACGCGCTTGTGCGTCGTTCGATGTAATTTTCGGACAACGTAACAGATTTCGAGTGGGAAAATTTGGAAATTGGCTCACCCTTGTTGTGCCGGCTGATGCTTATGCTCTGGCCGTCTTCTCTCTTCCACATCAGCTTCGGGGTCGGGTATCCATCCGCTTTGCACGTCAGCGTGATGTTTTGATTCTCACGGACGGCCACCGTGCTCTCGGTAGACAGGGAGTCCAAAATGTTGGGCGGGACTGAGGGGGAAAAGAGGAGAACGCGAGAGATCAATTAGTCCACTTGAAAGCTACGAAGTTGTTCCGAGTTTAAGCGTCTTTCGTTGGAATCGAGCTAGAAAGAAGCTTTCGCAAAGTAATTCCCTTGACCGCCTCGCGAGCTATTCCCGTTAAGGCTGTTGGAGCGCTTTCGGCGCGTGTAACGATATAATCATAGTATGCCTTAAGCCAGTGAAAGAAGATTAAACGTACTCACCGACAACTTGCAGGAAGCCGACCTGGTTTATCATCGGATGCGTGTTCAGTTGGCACATGTAGTAGCCTCTGTCGTCTTGCTGCACGTTGTTGATGTGCAGCAGCCAAGTCTTCTGGTTGTCGTGGGACACGGAGAATCTCGGTACTTTCACCACCACGCGATTGTGGATGGTCAACAGCATCTGACGGTCCACGTGGATCCACGCTACCTAGAATTCCAAAAGGAAATTTCTATCTTTTAACTACATTCGCGGATGCAAGTTTCTCTTACTAGGAACCTTTCACGCGCTGTAAGGCAAATTGAATTTCATTTCGGAGTGACAAGAGACTCGCGAAAAGGTAATTTTCTTTCTTCCCGTTGTAATTAAATGCTCCGGCTTTAATCCATTAATGGTTTATCCCGTGACAGGCACGAGTAGAGCGTCAAATACTATACACGGACTAATTACTAACGAGATACATATAAAACAGGTTTTTCTACATTTTTTATTACATGTCGAAGCGTTTTCGAATGTAGGAATTATAGGAAAGAAAAAAGAGAGGGAAAACTAAATTCTGCTGGTTTGAACTAAAGAATATACACTTTGTACACTAGGACTGGCAAGGAATTGAACTGTCGCGTTCCTAACGCCGCTAAAAAAGAGAAAAATTAAAACAAAAATGCCAGCTTAGACTACACACTTATCATCGTTGCACTTCAAGATAGAACATAGAAAGACTGGACATTTTTTGGACCTGAATTTGCGATTTTACCACACTGTGAAAGGGTTAAATGCAAACGGCTAGAATCGAAATCACTGGGATCGGGTAGCAAAGTTGTCTCGTGCTGCCGATAAATAAGCGAATTTGAGAGGTAGTTCGCGAAGGTATAAAGGAAATCCGCGGTTTGGAAAACAAGCATCAACGCCATTTTCGATTGGCCCGCGTCCCAATTGGAGAGAAGCGTCGCACGCGAGTGCTTCTTGCACGGAATCTTTCAAATTTCCGCTCGTCAATGGGCCGCGAGCCATCGGATGCTCCACAAGTGGCTGAGCGGAGTACAGGGAAGTCTGAGGGAACAGCGGAAGGGTGAAAGAAGGCGGAAGCCGCCGGGGTGCGCCGCAACGACACGGCTGTGCAGCCCTGGCTGCATCAGAAATGCTATGAACAAACATTATTACGACCGTATTTTACGCTCCGCTGGGCTAACGTTCCCCTAACTAAGCTCATTCCACGACAAAGCTTATGCACTTTCGAGGATTTCTGGGTTAAACTGGCTGCCCTCCCCGCTCGACGTCCTCTTCTACCGCGCCACTTCTTCTTTTTCATTTCCTTGGCAACGCTCGAGAACGCTCGGTTGCGCGAAAGCGCCACTTTTCCTCGTTTTTACCTTCCACCCTTTCCTTCTTCCGCTCTCTTTCCCGATATACCGCGGCTGCCGCATCCCTGCCCGAAAGCGGAGTCGTTACGACCGACTCGTCAGTTCGTCGCCGACGAATTACTCCGATTGCCACTGGACCAGCTAGCGTCTCTATCTGTCGATCGGTCCATTGCTCGGGTTCCTTGCCTTCCAAACGAGAGTCGCTCCTCGTTGAACGACCGCTGACTATGGCAAGATTCCTCGATAGACCGATCTTTACTCCGTTCTAGCCCACGTGTCGGGGACACACGGTCGTCTCTGGAGTCCTCGGTGATGCGTTTAATGTCACGGTCAAGGTAGCCACTCCTCGCAGTCTTTCCCAGTTCTCGCAGTTTTTCTTAATCTTGCTTTTTTTCCAGTTCTCCGTCTCGAGAGTGTCCGACTGCTCGCAGGCCACGTTAACGATCCCCTGTTTCTCGTATCTCGCGAACACCGCTCGGAAGACGTTGGCCAACTTGCTTGGATTACTCTCCCGCTTCCTTTATTTCTGCCAGAGAACGCTTGCTAGCATAATTAGCTAACAGGCGGCTGACGAAAAGCGCAGTTGTCCCGCGCTGCGGGAATTAAAGGACTCGACGAGCACCGGGAGACATCGGTAAGTAACTCTTTGATGGCTCGAAAAGGATGAAGTTTTAGAAAATAACGAGATTAAAGGAAATTTCGAGCGATCAGGATTGCTCGAGGCGCGGAGATTGTTTCCAGACTGAGGATCGATCGAGGCGAATGACCCGATTCGTTGATTTAATTTATCGACAGGATCAAAGGAACGCGGACGAAGCAGCTGGCAACCGCTCCGAGGAACGTCATATCGAGGGAGATTAAATCGCAGTTGAACTCGGTTAATCCTTGCTTTCGAATACACCCGCGTCTCTCCTCGTATCCGTCCCTCGGGGAACTTCCATCGTCCTAGCCAAACTTCCCTCGCAAATTTCTGTCATCTACTCTCTTAGCCTAAAAGTGTCGTCTGATACTCCGAATCGTCATCGCGCGAACATTCGAAACGAACGTTCCGAGCTGTCTATCTCACTTATCACAGGGTCAAAGGATGCTCGGGATATCGGGGAAAACTTGGTCGCGGGTCCGGCTGATGGACGGTGAAAAGCGGATGGCGCTGGATGGAGAAAAAAAGCTGGCTCTGATGCGCAAAGGTAGCTACCGGCGCTATATTGGCCTTTAAACGGTCTCGAGGTAAAGCTCGCGCCGCTTGCGGCCTCGATTGAAATCCCTGGCACTGGTTCAAAGTCAGGCTCAACTGCTGCCGCGACGCTGGCTGCCGGGCTGGCAATCGACGCTCTATATCGCGAGGAAAAAGCGCCATTTCGATGGTGCCGCGCCTTTGTCAAGCCAGCCTGTTTAAGAAACTTCGCCAGTTTTAATTCCTTCCCTCTTCCAAATCGACTTTGACTTTTTCATCGCCTCTATAGACGGTTCCTCGCTGCACTCTGTCATCCAAAGTTTGCTCACTCGCTCAGAGGTATATCGCGAAGGATATCTCCTATGCTCCGTGGGTAAACATGATTTTCGAGAAGTCGATTCCTTTGTGCCTGGGACGCTTTCAGCCACCGGGTGTCCCGGGCTGTATTCGACGTTTCCATCTCGAACAGGAATCAACGCGCAGGTCGTTCGCGCGTGTTGCTAGCTGTCCACGGTCACGCGGATTATTTGACCAACTGTACGCCTCGACGCGCTTGTTCCTCGGGTATTTGACAGTTTGAAACGATCGGTGTGCGTGGAGAGATTAAAGGAGACGTGTATAAATAGGAGGGAGAAATAAAAGGAAATTAAAATTCCTCCGATTGGACGGGAAACACTTTTGACAGCGCGTCGAGGATCGTTCACCGGTCTCGATCTAATTTCCCGCCACTTAAGCTCCGACTAGAAGCCTGTCCGTTTCAACCGGAGTCAGAGCGCAATTAACGCAATTAGGGACGCGAGAGTGCAGTGCGTTTCGTTTTAGGAACGCTTTTCGAGCTTTAATCGTCAACCCTTCGAATTTGTTACGTTAATAAGACGAGCACTCGACATTGACCGTCGATGGCTCCTGGATCCGAGTATACCGAATGACAGCAATTATTCGGCAACGATGACCGGTCACAGGCGGCGCGAGTCACGTGCAGCCTTAATACCGCAAACTCTCTGCAGAATTCACGCTCGTGCCGTTTTAAATACGTACCCTCCGCGCGCGGACACGGCTGACATTTATAACGAGCCAGCCGCTGCAGACGCTCGCAATCGTTGCGAACTCTTTATCGCAAGTGACGTGCAATTTGGCCGGTATATAGAAAACCAACCGGTCGATGACCTACATATTTATTTTCCGTCGGAGAAAATAACTCTTAACGTGTCAAATTTAGAGGATTTAACCGCGTTCCCGCTCTGCTCGTGAAAGACGGCCATCGTTAGCCGGCGTCGCCCCTCGTCGTGCGCCGCGTAAACCCTTCGGGATCTCGTTCGGAATCTCGCTCGGAATCTCCGAACGGGTTGCAAAGGGAATTTTAAAACGTCCTCGCCTAAGGCCTCGCGTAAACGCGCGAGGACAGATCTCCGTCCGGCGTTTCTTTTTACGCACGCTCGATAATCATCAAGAGCGACGCGGCCCTAAATTTTTCTCGCAGAGTAATAACCCTCTGGGAAAATTCGCAGGGTCGTAAACGATACTAGCTCGCTCTCGTTCGAGAGTCGTTACAGTGGCTGCTGCGGCGTGGGCGTGCCGGTGCAGGGTTGAAATTCGAAAGTGCAGCAGTCAGAGAGGAGGAAGGTGGGTGGAAAGGGGGTGGAAAGGTGGCGAAGGCAGGAGGAGAAAGTAAATTGAGAAGAGCGAGAGGGAAGTTGGTCAGAGGCGGACGGTGAACTTTGGCAGACCGGACCAGGAAAGCGCTAATTTAGATGTAAACCGTGAACGATAAAGAATGCAAGAACGAGCCATCGGCGGCATTTCCTTCGTCGGGCGGACCGATAAACTCGGTCCAGCTTCGCGTGTTTTAATAAAGCCACTCGCGAATGTATCGACCTGGTTACAGGCCTTGCTCTTTTTTCACCAACGAATACCCAGAAGCGACGGAGCTTTCCATACAAATTAGCCATCGTGCATTTCGATGAAAGTATCCCCGGGCTTCGTTCGCCTAAATCGGAAAGGGACAAACCGAGATCGGTTTCTTGTATCTCGGTAAGAACACCGGATCCCTCTCTCGCGACTGGATACTGCTCGAAATTAAGTCGCGAGGAGAGCGAGAGGGAGAGAAAGGAAAGGAAAATGCGAGGAAGAAAAAGCGGGGAGAAGAGTATAGTCGTTGGAGTTTAGCGGAGTTTCTTAAAACAATCGACCAACCGATCTAGAATTTAATTAACCACCGCGTGGAAGGGCGAGGAGGAGAAAAAAGTAACCGAGTGGCTGGAGAGCATAACAAGAGAGAGAGAATGGTGAGAGAGCGGAACACAGGGATGTCGGAGGGTACGTCGAGGGAAGAAAAGGGTAGCCCGAATGCGCAATTCCAACGACGGCGCGGCGTTTAGCGTCGAGGAGGAGGGTTGCTCGTTTTAATCAACTTTTGCGAAAATATTCCCGACGTTTGCGCGGCGCAGTCATTAGGCCGAACTTGATTTCCCACAAGGTCGCTTTTATATTTCTCCACGGTGTTTAGCTTTAACGTCGCCCCGACGTTCTTTACGACCCAAACGCCCGCTGACAGATGCTTCGCCCCCTGGACCAGACCTGGGGCCAACTTCTTCCCTTTGCTTCCCGTTCCTCGGTGTTTCCTTAAAATCTCCCTATCGATTCGTCGACGCGAGTTAAGGGAGGAAAGTAGAGAG